GATTCGACCCTCCATTCTTCCGTTGTTATCGCATTCACTATTGCCGATCCTACGCGTTCGGTGCGATCAGCTTCGTGAGTTTCGAAATAACGCTCCTTCCCCGTTTCTCGCGCCTTTCAATCATTATTTACGCCCGAATCAAATCTCGACGAATCTCTGGAATCTAAATCCCATAACACCCACCTCCGGCAGTTTCCCGCAACGGAACAACCTGCTGCGCGAACACCGATCGCACCACTTCCGCTCGCGACTTTACGCGACGGGAGATCGCGACGGAGCGTCATAAGGACGACGTAAAAATCGAGGAAGACGCGAAGTTCGCGATCGTTCGTGTCCCTCCCCCCTTCTTCCCCCGACGATAGCGGTAATAACGTTAATGCACAGCAGCAAAACGATCGGCAAACTGGTTCCACGCCCGCAAATTCGCGGTCGGAACGCAAGCATTAATTTCAAATCAATTTCAAATTCCAAGTTCCGTTCTTTCTTCCCGCTCATCTAGGATGTCCGTACATATTCGGCCAATCCTGGAGGACTGGCGAGGTGCTAATTCAAGCTCGTACGTCATTAAAAGTGGATATCTGCAAGGTGCAAAGAAACATATCGTCTATAATTCTGAATGAAATCCCCTTTTCTCCACCATTGGCCGTTATGATGCATTGCGCGCGCGCGCACTGCGGCTATTAATTTCGGCTCTCCATTATTGTATGTGCGGGCGAGTTGCGTAAGAGCGCGCGCGCGCGCTTTCGTTCCTCGTGCGTTTCGCACGAGTTCTCTCCGCGAGGTGACCCCGTTTGGGTTCGCGCGGTGTCAATTAAGCTCGCAGGAAATCGTGCCCGATCACGATATCGGGCGCAACGCGCCGATAATAATGATGTTACCGATCTCCGCGCGTTGGCTTTGATCAAACGCGTTGCCCGCGAGCGAATGCTCGAAGAAGAAAGCGGGCCTCGCGCGGTGGCGGCTTTCGGTTTGATTTACGACCGGCTAAAGAGCGCTCCGACCGGTGAAAATCGGCGTAGGGAGTGGTCGCGCAGCTGCCGTGTTAGATTAATTGGCGATTCGTTTCTAATCTATTTAATATGAAGAATAGAGAATAGATCAAAGAAAGAGAGAGAGAGAGAGGAGGGGGAGATGGAAATTTATCCTCTTTTGGTGCCTCACTGCCGGGAACAATCAGATTGTACAATCAAGATAACGTAACGTTAATAAGATATTAAAACGAAGACATGACGTGAAGAAAAGATAGAGGAAAGGCAAGGTGTAATCGTACGCGTAACATAGACAATTTGTAACACAAAATGCTCGAGGAAAATGTAGCAAATTTAAGACAGACGAAGTCTGTTCATTATTACGTGGTAGGCTTCCCCCGAAAATAACTATATTTTTCTTTCGGTGTGAAAAGCTGCAAGGCGCGAGAAGTGGAAGAATCGAGCGAGAAATGATTCGACTTGATTCCGATCACTGAGACTTTCGCTCCACAGGCCGAATTTGTAACCGGAAGCCGCGATTGTCACAGCGACAGGCGCTGCAAGTGGCTCTGTGTGACGGTCGTACTCCGCTCTCGGAAGAGAGACGTGTCTTCGCGTCGGTCGAACGAAGCGTAGGCGCCTCGGCGCGCGGGCCTCCGCCGAATCGTTTAACATTATAATGATCGGGCTCCCGAGAACAGTCGAAACAGGTAGGAACACACCGCGAGACCTGTTGCGAGAGGCTGGACCCCCCGCGGCCTCCGCTCGCCGGCGCGCACGATGTTATCTTCATCTATCTCGGCCTCCTAGAGAAGCCGGCCGGCGACGTGTAGCCGCGTAAACAATGGATCGAACGAGCGACTTCGGATCATTTGGAGCGAGCGCGCACGAGCGAGCACACGTGTGCGCGTACGTGTGTGCGTGGTATCGACACGGTCGCAAATAATACGCGCGTGGGTGGCGACGGAGACACCGAGAGTCACGCCGTTATTATCGCGAATATCTACAGTATTTGGCCACGAATACCCGCAGAAGCGTCGGAGGTGTCGCACACGAAAGACTTACGGTGCACACGGCCGCGGTCTTCTTCTTTCGCCGCTTCCCCCGATGAATTAATAGCCGACGATAAAGACATCATGATACGTGTGAGGCGGAAATTATTCGCGTTCGACTTCTCCTTCCTCTTTAAGGACCGACCGTTCTCTCAGTGTTCTCAAATTTCGAGAGCAATCCTAGAGTCGACAGCTTCTTTTTTCCATTGAGCATGAAATTTAATACGAAATTTAACAATGAACGTTACTATAAATGTGAGTGTCTTATGAGAACATGTTTCACCTGAATTATACTGATGTGCATTATTCTGCTCGAGTTTTAACTTTTTAGTAGCGTAATTCATTATCAGGTCGGGAAAGCTTTCGTGTTATTCTTTAATAAGTAGAAATCAAAGTCCATCGGAACAAGTGTTTGGTCGCGCTATTGAAAATTATTAATTAAGTTTTCAGTAATGTTATAATAGTTCAAACTTTTGTTAAATCGTTTTGCTTGAAAGATCCTTCTAACCTGCTCTGTTAAATCATATACTGTTTAATAATAAAAAATCATCTCACCTGCCCCGTAGGCATACAATTTTAAAGTGAAAAATGAAAAAATACTCCGGCCTGTGCCGTTGAGTTGTATTAATTAAAAATAAAATTCCTCGTCCATTCTGTTGTTAAATTATATTATTTGACAAAAAAGATTTAAGATTTAAAGATTCAAAAATATCATCTTACCTACTCTTGAGATATACAGTTTGATAATCGAAAGATTTTTTGACCAATTGCATAGTCGCATTATTTAGTAATGAGGAAATTCGTCTGACCTGCCATTGAATCATATTACGACCTCGATCGCTCAACAGAACTGGTGGCGGCACTTAGCGGAGACTTTTGAAACGACAATATCGAATTTAACAGTAGTAGGTTACCTAAGTGTTGTTTTTAAAATTATTGTAATATAGATGAGATAGAAATATGAAAAATAATCTAAGAGCGAATAAAGATTATCTGTCCCCGAATTTATCTAAATAAAATATAAAAATATAGCAATTCATCTAGATAACCGCAGGTAATATTTTTATTATATAATATTTCTATATATGTTAAAGTATGCTATTAAAAAATGAAAGGAGAGACACCGTTACATTAAAAAAAAATTGAATTCGTTTTATGATTATATAAAAGCGAAGGGTGATCGTGTGAGCAATAAATCAATTACGTTATCTAATATGATTTAATCCCGAAAAGCACAATAAATATCTGCGCTCAAGGAACGTACGCTGCGACATCACAATCGTTGCGCAGTAACTATATTATAATATATAATTCGACAATAAATAACGCTGGCAAATAACATGTAGCGAGTAAAATCAAGGACCTTACACATGCTTTAAAATAATCATATATACGATATCGTACATCTCGTAAAATCGCCGAGATTGTTTTTATAAGGTTAACTATTAGGAAGGATTTCGCTAACGTTACATACAAACGTATGTAAACATTTCTTTTACAAATCTATAATCTATATCTGCCGAAGGAGTACATCGATCGCGATGCATTCGCGAATATTGTTCCTCGATCAAACGAATAGTAAAAAAAAGTTTATCTCTACGCACTAACAAAAACTAATTTTCTGATCCTTGCGATATATACGTAATATTTATACATATAGTATATGTATTGGCGAATAATTATGTGCTTAACTTTTTATAATATATATATACATAATTGTACACATAAATGTTGCTACGAAATTGAAATTCGAGTGGTAATCTGTACATTTAAAAAATTCGGTATTCTTACAGTATAAAAAACTTAAATAGCAAAATATACTCAGAATAAATAATCTTTTTTTTTAAACTCCTCCTGCGTTATTTCCATATAAGGTGTTTCTTAATTTGAATTCGTCAATCACATAGCACTATTCCTCATTCAAAATTAAGTTGAAATGTATCGAATCATTTTCTTCGTCGATACTTAATAAAGTAGTAAAGTATTGAACAAAATCTATACAATCAGTGCGTCTTTGTACGAGCACATATAAGAATGCGCAACGCTGACATATATTATTAACCATGCGACGGTGCTAATTGATTAGATTTTATTTTAAAATTATTTTATTTAATAATTGGTAATGGTTATATTACCAATTATTACATTAATTTGTAATTATTATATATTATTATTAATAATTATTAATTAGAATAATTAATTATAATAATTATTAATTATCACTTGATTAAGTATCGCGAAAGAAATTAGGATTTTCTGACTCGAACTTTGGTAAGGAACAATGCTATGTAATTAGTGGACGTCAATTAAGATAAACCTTGTATATGTATATTTTATATGTATAAACTATTTTTATTTCTCTCGTATATATTTTTTTGTAAATCTGTATCTTCCTATTTCCTTTATTTGAGCTTTCGCAAATTATACGTATTCAAAAATTATAATTGTAGCGCAAAGTCTTTTTATAAAAATTGTTGGATTGAATGATGCTTAAATGAATATCGTGTATACTGCCTCGTAATGCGAAGAACGGAAAGAAACGAATGCGAGTAGTCCCCTTATCTCCCATTCGTATAACGACAAATTATATAATTCGAGATCCTCATCTCGAATTTAATTAAACTCGCGGAACCAGAAGGAATTAAGAAAACGGAAAGGAATCTCCTGAAACTGCGCGCCGGAAATGTGAAAATGCAGGCAAGTAATTGTCTCTTAAAACCCAGTAGCAAATAGTTTGGATTTCGTTTAACAGGCGAAAGAGGAGAGGGAAGTGCATCTCCCTTGCCAATAGACTAACAAAAAGTTTTTTAATTGACATGCTTCCGAGCAGTAAGTCGTTAAGAGCGTTCGTGAAAAAATATGTGTCTCTCATTTAGGACTGAATCTAGAGCTCTTAGGAATCGAACGGGGGGGGGGGGNGGGGGGGGGGGGGGGAGGGAGAGACTTGCATGCGCTTCCTTGGTAGAACAACCATGTTCTTAAACACGTTTCTCGCAACGCTGCCGGATGTACGCGAACTGGAATCGAGAATTAAAAATACTTTCCTATCGGAGTCTTTGAAGCTCTATGCAAACGTCTTTGTCGAGCAGTTCGGTAGTTGTATAGCTATTCAGTCGAACAGCGTACGCTGAAAATTAACCCTTTCCAGCTCTCTGCGTAGCTACGATTACAATTCTTCTTTAAATTCTAGTCGGATTTGTAACAACTACTCGCGCAATTCCCCGCGATAGCTACTTAGCGAATGGCACACGCTCTGTTTCAGGTGGAAAACGCTTGTTTTAAGAGCGGTCGAATTTCGAGAGGGAATCACCTCTCCGTTTCACCACTTTGAAAACAAGGGGTTCGTGTATCTTACGTATATTTCGTCGTATATTTATCTATAATATATCGAGAATCAAGGAACATAGAGAAAAGCGTTTCTTAAGGAACTGTTGACTGATGCCGGAAAGAGCCAAGAAGAACGAGTTTACGTTGTAATCATATAAAATGTGTGATGTGCTATCTCTGTCATCTGGCAACACTGCTTTGTACAAGAATGCTATCAAGTGGACTCTCAACGAGAAACATATACCGTATAAAAGTCCTCTGCAAGAAATCCACTCATTATATATATATATATATATATATAATCGCATCTGTGTGATCAAATATGCAGCCAGCCGATGATTAGTCTTTCAATATTAAATCTTAGAGTGATGTCGGCGAGAACACGGTGGCGACGCGTATGATTAACAGACATGCGTAGGCGCACATTCGTCGCAAGAGATATCATGAAACAAAAGGAAAATTGTGCTCAATGACCTTTAACCTGTGACGAGCGAGGAGGAGAAAACAAAATGTCATGGTTACGCGAACTCGTCGCCACTCGACCGCTCGCAAAACATCGGGGGGATCGTCTGTTTGAAATGCGCTAGCTTCTTCTCGAAACGAACTATTAATCAACAATGGGAAATAAAAAGAAAAGGAAAAAAAAACAGATATAGTACAGAATAAAGAACGATACGATGCGTCGCTTCCATCTCGAAAGTCAGTCTTAAAGATGCATTGAGCAGAAGGCGACAGAACTGCTGAATGAAGGATGCACTGACGTTTCCACCATCTCTTCGCGTCGCGAGATCCGCATCCACGAGAAGCAGCTCTTCTCTCTCTCTCTCTCTCTCTCTTTTTTATTTATGTATATTTTGACTACTTGTCTGTAATAACAGACAGTGTCATTAGCGGTCATCCGTGTCAGATGATGCGACTTAATTTCCTGATAGAAGTCAGTCTCAAAAGTGGGTCCAACAATTTCATCATCGATGCTGTGATTATCGTCGACATCCATGCGCGGAGTCAGCTTCCCATGCGACGGCCGTCTTACATTTCTGTTTTCAACTACTGAGCACATTTGGCTTAGGAGCTATTTAGTTTACTAGGCAGGCTTCTAAGTACAACTATGTTATCTACCGTGCACGAGTGTTCCGCAAGAAGATATATATATATATATATATATATACCGTCAGCACGAAGTTCATACGATTTATGCCCCGTCGTTTCTCGACGGACATCTCGATTTGGGCTTCATCTCCGAAGTACTTCACTCATTCGAGACAGAATTTTGCCACCGGTGTATGGAATACTATATTCCGTAATTTATTAAACATTCCCAGCGAAAAATTCGAAAGTCTCAGTCTGCGGTAATTACCACAACCATTGCTTTGATTTGGTCTTCGTTCGAGGAGTATATTTATATATATCGAGAATATTTCATGATATTCTCCGCGCGTCGATCAACCGAAATAGCCAATTGTCTTGCGGACTTGTTGGAGAACCCTTTGGTGTGACCTTAACGATATTTATCCTCCGAGACGAACAGTGAGATGTCGTCCTCTGCTTCGTCCGGGATGTTCGCCACTTTATCTTGACTATCACGAACTTCGACGTTACCCTTGTAAAGTCGTCTCTATTTGATAAAGCACCGCGTGCTTCGAGTCACCTGGATCACTAGTTCCCGATTTCTTCATCGAAATCGTCTACTTGCGTCAGAGCACCGATACGTTGTCGTTGCTCTTCTTCTCGTGCAGCATGGACGTCCTCTCTTCCATTTGGATGTTGCTACCGGCGCTACCGTTCATAACGGGCTCCCCGGCCACTTTCAACATACCCGGCTGAAGATTGACGTACCTGTGCGCCTGATTGTCCTTGGCATCCGCGGCATTCTCTTGGACCCACGTTTGTTTCAAGACCGGCGTTCTCATGGGATCCAACAGCGGACTGGAGCTGTCCTGCTCGTAGGACTGGCCGGCCAGCAGAGGATCCAAGTTGTGATCGTCGTCATGGCAATTCAGGTCCAACAAGAGCGGCGTCGGAGAGTCCAACGACTTGGAGCCGTGCATCTGAGAAGGTGGACACTGCGGTGGCCACGAAAGGGAGAACTTGCGAATATTCTCCGCCAGCTGGATGTCGAGCTGAGCGGTGTTCTCTAGCTGTACACTCGCCAAGGGCACGTCCAGACATGGCGAGACGATGCGGGGATTAGTCGCCAGGAAGTCCACGATGTAAGGCGCCGTCGGCCTCTTCGTATGGTCCACGTTCCAACACGAGTACATTAAATTCTCGCTGCAAATGAGACACGCTCCGTTTTCGGATGTGACGGGGTGATTGTTGAAAAAACGAGACAGCTTTGTCTCACGCTGGTGATTACTTACAGTGGCAGTTTCACTTTCTTCGGCACGACGAGAGAGTTGCCAGCCTTCACGTGTGAGAGAACCTCGTTGTTACTCATACCTTGAAAAGGAAAACTGCCGAAAGTCACGATCTCGTAGAGCAGTACACCGTAAGACCAGACATCGGACGCCGGCGTGAAGATACCCAGTCCCAGCGATTCCGGCGACATCCATCTCACCGGCAGCATACCTGCGCCGAAGAGACTTTACAACGTGCGTCCGCAACGTAAGTATAATGCAAACTCGCGGCATATATTTCCGTGGACTCACCTTTACGATTGAACTTGTAATAGTCGTTTTCATACATTGGTCTTGTCATACCGAAGTCGCCGAGTTTCACCACTCGTTGGGCGTTCACCAAACAATTGCGAGAGGCGACATCCCTGAAAGAAGAGGAAACGAGATAGAATTATTTCAGAGTATTCTGATATCGCCGCATCATTATTATCACATCGAAGTTGTTAAGTCTGAAATCTCCCGAGATTACCTGTGAACGTATTTCAACTGGGCTAAATAGCTGAGAGCTCTAGCGATGTCCAACGCCATGGCGGTCAACTTTTTGTTGGAAATCTCGTCGGAATCCTCGTAGCTCTGGTCGTTGACCAGATGCCTTCTGCCTAACAAGTAGGTCTTCAAATCGCCATAGAGCATGAACTCCATCACGGTGAGCACGGGCTCGCATTTTATGCACACGCCCAGTAACTTAATGATATTCTTGTGCTCGAACCTCTTCATAACTTCGACCTCGCTCAGAAAATCGAGCTTCTCGTCGGTCGAGCTGCCCACTTTCAAGGTCTTCACGGCAACGGCTAACCAGCCCTTCTCGGGGAAGAAAGATTCACCGCCATAGACGGTACCGAAGGCACCCTCTCCGAGTTTCCGATTGATCACTACTCTATCTCGCGGAATCTCCCACGTGTCCAAGCCGGAAGTGTCCGCCTGCCTTAGGTCGATACCCAGGGACTTCATGTACTTCTCATGGAGTCGGACTTTTTTCTCGTATCTAAACGTAACAGCGTGATTTTATCAACGAGAAACATCGGATTGATTTGACCTTACATAAGCGACATGTTCGGGATCGAAACGAAATTTAATAATAAACGTACTTCCGCTTAATGAAGATAAAGCCAATGAAGAGAAGCATTCCGAAAAGGCCGAAACCAATAACATTTACAATCCCGATCGCCGCCTCGCAGGTGACACCCAACAGCTCCATCAAACCTGCCAGGACACATGTCGACCCCATTGAGCCGTCATCCGGCATTGATCCTGACAACCAAACTAAATCCGTAATATTCAAGTCCAAAGTTCCGCCGGTGACGTGCTTGTTATCCGAGATGTTCGGATAAAAGCTGCCAACGATTTTCGTCTTATTTTTGATGAATTGTACGATATTAATCACAGAATACCTCGATGGTCCGCCTAAAAACTTTATTCTGCCGGATACCTGTTGAACAGAAATCAATCTATAGATATCGCTATTTCAGATTAAAAAAACTTTCTCAAACAATTATCGATTTGATATAAGGCTCCGATATTCGTTCCCCAAGTAGCACGATAAATAAATTCTTGTTGATGTTGTACATAACAGTTATATTGTTGAATAAGAAATTATAATATTCATGTAACGTTACTGTTAATCGTTGTTTGGTAAGTAGTTATCCTCTTCCAAGTGAAATAAATGAAATAATTAATATTTAAAATACATTCAGCTGTCAACCACATAAAGAAAGGAATCTAAAATTGCACAAAAATCCTGTAAAATAGCACAGGTACGCGCTGAACGTATAATTCTTTTGTTCTTTTTTTTTTTGCTCAACCAACCCCGTTGAAATCGGTCTCCCCGATAATATCCGTGAGACGATTGACTGTTTCGTCGCTGTGAAGCTGGGAGACATAATTCTGGTTCTCGCGAATCAGGCGATCCATGGCATAGGCATAGGTCCACATAGCGTCGTAAGCGTAACCAGCATAGTTGGAGGGCTGCAGATTCTGTATCCGACATTTATTCTCGTATCGCTCGCGCCATTCGCGCACGGTGATTCCCTCCTGCATTATATCGTCGTCCCGGGCGAAATATGCGTGCGACAGACCGAGGTGTCCGTCTATGGCTTCCATCATCTCCAGCGTGCTACAAGTCACCTGTTCGCCCTGCTTATTGTAATGATCCGTGTCATACCATTGTTGTCGGAGCCAAAGTGGGAGGAACCACACATAGCCCTTTAATAAGAAAGAAGAATGATCGACTCGAGTTACCGAACTGATCAATCTAACACCCTTGTGATTCTTGCGTTCGGCAAGACGACGTGATTTGCAGTTATCATTACCTGAACGGCTGTCATCTTCAATCTATACGCCTCGCACATGACCTGACGAGCTACCGCGTCGTACACATCCGCGATGATGATTTTGGCCTGCCTTTCTCTCAGATCATCCAGATACTGAAAGCAAAAATATTACAAAATCGCACCACCGTTGTCGCTCTTTTCGCCGCGTGGGAAATAACCGAAACCTCCGCTTCTCTCCTCGCATCACCGAGCAATCTCCGTTACGTCAGCGCAAGACGGAGGATTGGCGCGAGGCAAAAGTGGATTTACCTTCGTCATCACATCGCCCTCTCGCTCTCTCGGGAATTTGGCGGTCGCCACGAAGGTGATACCGTTGTCCCTGAGCATGTCTTGCATGTACGATATATACTCGGTGTACTTTTGCCCGTCCTCCGTGAGGGAGGCCACTCGACGCCAACCGAGTTTCTGCAAGAGCTGCAGGTACACATGCCTGTACTGCTTGTTCTCGCCGATAGTCCGGAAGAAATACGGGTATCTACTGCGATCGTCGAAGCTGGACCCTTCGGCGCTGTAGCTGATGATCACCGTTTTGTAATGCTTGGACACGCCGACCAACGGCTCCACCGTTTCCGAGCAAGCCGGCCCCAACACGCCGACCAGCTTCTCGTAATAATTGTGCACGATGTAATCGATGAAAGACTTCATCACCATGTCCGACTTGCACTGACCGTCGCTTGCCAACAAGTTAAGACTGTAGTCCCTCAGCACGGTGTTGTTCAAGTTAATGGCATGCTTCGCCATGTCAGAGGCGATCGGGATCGACTTGGCTTGATAAGAAGAGCCGGTCATGGGAAATATCCCGCCTACATAGAGGACATTCTTGTCGTTGTTTTGGGGCATCCACATCGTCATGGTGTAGTTGAGATTGTCTTTGAGCCAGTCGCAGGCGACTTGCTCGTCGGGCACGTCGCTCGCTGCCCGGCTGCGCCGAGCGATCAGATCCTCGTACATGTCCTTGCTGAATTTTGCGAGTTTGATCGCCTCGAAGGCGAACCTCGCGTTCATCTCCAATCCGCCCCACACCAGCTTCGTCAACCTGTTCGTCTCGTATCGATCGCAGCCGTTCGTGCTGTTCCTCGCCCCGCAACGCGGGAAATCGATCGTCGTGAATTCCCTCTCGTTCGGGATCATGCTGCTAGGCGAGTAGTGCAGGATCACCAGTGACCTGGAAAAGATTATGTTATAAAACACATCATACCTCGTCCTTCTCTAGTGACTATCGTTCGGCGAGATCGCGCGTATTCTTCGCGTCAACGGTACCTGTTATCGCCGACAGTCGACGAGTCCCGACGAGTGTACTCTTCGGTCAGGTACTTGGTCAGGTGCCGGAGATTCGGGCCGACCCACGCCACCTTGACGTACAGCTTCAGTTGATCGATTTGCTCCCTCACGAATTCGGTCTCGTCCAGATATCCGGCCAGCAGCAGCGCGCAGCTCGGTGGCCTCTGTCGCTCTCGGCTCTGACACTGCTCCGGCACGTACATGCCGTTCTGGCAGAAAGTCTCCTGACAGTGGTAGTTCGAGGTCTCCGGATCTATCGTGAAATTCCTCACGATCGGCAGATACGTCTCGTCGATGGCGAACTTGCTGGCTGTCTCCGGCCTGGAGAAGACCTGCCAAGTATCGTCGGACCCGGATAGCGCTTCCGGGACGAACCAGCCGAAATATCCCGGCGGTGCTACCGAACCGCATTCCCTCAAGTTGTACCTGTTCAGCAACGGGATCGTGTCCTGCTGCGGTGGAATCCACACCTCCATGTTTACCATCGTCTCTGGCAATCTACGATTTCGGATGGGTTAATCGGAATGTGCGCGTTCTCCCGCTGCAGTTTGACGCGAATCTGTCGATTACACTGGCGAAAGGATTTGGTTTAACTATTACGAAAACTTGCTTAAATAGTCTCAACTATAAATCGTCTGACCACTGCAATCAAATCCTTTCCTTCAGCGTAGATTCTCCGATTCGGCGTTTTCGTTCGGATCGTCTTCCTCGCACGGGAAATAAAAACTCGGTTCCTACAACTGGCAGGATATGAAATTCGGATGAAAACTCGGTGATAAGAAACGAAAATTCGGTGACGATAAGTGATACGAATCGAGTGATATCAATTTCTGTTATCACAACTCTCTGCCTCTGAGAATTTTCGCGCGTGGGAAAAACAATTCAGTTGGTGTAGCTGAATTTGCCGTTGCCCGGAGACGGAATTATGTTCCACCGTGCGTTTGACGCTTCTGATACGACACCGAGAAAATATCTGTGAATATCATGAAAAATGTCTCAGGATTGCTAATCATTTTTGGCATGCAACTTTCCCGCCTACTCGCGCTTGCTCGGATATTAAGTTGGCCGTATATACAGCGCATCAGTATTGCATCCGCAATCAAAGGAACATTGTTAAACGAGAGATACACACGACGCGTCTCAAAACGACGCGTGTATTAGCAGACAACTCGAGAGAAGTTTGACGCCTCGATGTTACGGAGAGGAAGAAGAATACGTCGTTCGGTGCGTGAAAGGTGCACCGAGATAGGCGCTATTAAATGATTGAAAAGCGCGACGCGAGAAACATGACTTCTATTCGACAAATACGTCCTGAATATTTGCCGGAGGAAACGCCATTGCGCCGGGCGTGAGATGTAATCGCTCGGCGAAAAGAGTACAAAACGTATTTGCAATCGGCACAATGACGAGTGTCCTCGATCGTTAATCTGCCGATGCGGCTACACGGTACACCTTGCGAATGGAAAATGCACGTCAAAGTTACACCTTCGATCCTCTTTACGGACACATCTCGAGAGAAGTTCAATACAGCTGTTTACACACTTGTTGAGAAAAAAAAACAACGAATTAGAAAGATATTTTTATGATCTAAGAATAGGAGATATATATATATATATATATATAGAGAGAGAGAGAGAGAGAGAGAGAGAGAATATTCGCAAAAGGTGAAGGAGGGAGAAAATCCAACGAGTCGAATCGAGCGGAATCCGCGTTCGGAATTCGTTTCAAAATTTCACGTCAAACTGCGCGATCGGTTATTGAAGCCGCGATCGTTCATTGTCTTACTCTCTGCGCGCTTTTGTACCACTTTTGTAGTACAGTACTTCGGACAATCTCTCGAAAACCTCGTCCTCGTCGAACTTGTTGCCCTTCTTGACCACAGTGACCTCGGCGTAGCCCAACACTTCGACCAGGTAGATCTTCATGATCTCCGACACCATCCTGTGGGTGACTCTCCTCGATACATCGAACTGAATATTCAGTGACTTATTCTCATGGTAGACCACCACCCTCTTCGGATTGACCTCTGTAAATCACGGAGCACACACTCTCTCTCAAACAAAAGAATTCCCCTCGATCCTGTTTGCGCGCGGATATTTGCATGATTCAACTTCGCGAAGGCGAGTTCCCGGAGATCGCGCGCAAATGTCAGCCGGGAGACGCGCGAACGGATTGAGAGTCACTGCCCAGAAATACAAGGTCGCTTTGCCGTCCGATCTGAACAATGTAAACATCTGAGAAAAACATGTGGCCGAGAGAACGTTTCCGGCCAATCCGCGCAATAACCGTGTTTAAGCGCTTGATAATAAGCAGGTGAAACTACGCAGCGCGCGCGGCTACATTAACGCGCCGGAAAATGAATTCAGCTCCTCGTTACGTCGTGAGCTCGATACATCTAATTACGTCGTCGACTAAACTTGAGTGAGTAATGATAAATACGTAACAAATAAACGAACGTTCATGAGTGAGCCAGTGGCGATTCGATTCAACGTTCGAAGCGCGATCTGACGGTCGTCGCTAATTAGCCGGTCGCGATCGATTCACGTGGCGGTGTTTTCGCAAGGACGTGAGAAGAGAAAGAGAGAGAGAGAGAGAGAGAGCCGATGGGCAGTATCGCGTCTCTTCGCGAGCTGACAAATGCGCCGTAATTGAGCCGCACGATCGAGCCGGTGATAATGACGGCGATTTACCTTTCAGCATTGTCAGACAGCGGTTCGAGTCCGCGATCTTCAGGACGGCCGCAAGGACCAAGAGGCCCAGTATGGATCCGGGTCTCAGCATCGTGACCTTCTCATCCTGCAACAGAGAAGAGGGCGATCAGCGCGCTATTGAGATCGTTCGTTAGAAATGGATTAATTTAGTCACGAGCGGATCGATCGGTCAGGTAATAAAATGGCTCTGTGGGGGCGATCGGAGCGCTCCGTCGAATCGAAGAGCGCCGGTTAAAGTTGAAAATCGCGGCAACCGTCGTCAAATTGCGAAATAAATGCCGCCGAAAGAAACAAATGCTGCATTCGGGTTAAGCATTTGGTAAGAAGTATTCGAGTAATTATTTCATTTCTTTGGATTAAGTAAATATTACTTAGATGTAGCACTTTTCTTCTTAACGTAATATTTTATTTAATCCGAGTAAATTATGAAGTAATAAGTTTATCCAAGTAAATTATTTTAATGTAAATTAAAATTTTTAATATAAATAAATGTCACTTAAATGTAGCACACTAAAAGAAGTGACTACATTCAAGTGTAATATTTACTTAATCCCCAGGTGAGATTATTATCCCGATATTCCTTGGCAAATAATTATTTGAACGTAGTATTTTTCTGTTTCAGTGCGCAATACGATGAATGATCGATGCAACGATTTAACGTGTCCCGTGCCGGCGTAATTCTATGCGATTTCGATGATCCACGTTGTCCCCCGTCATGATCTAAATTTTATTATACGTCTCGTAATAATTATCAAAATGTATATTACATCATGATATATTTCACGTATCATCTATTTCACGAGCGCAGGATTATATTTCGTTTCGGAGTCCAACGGAACCAAAGCAAAAGTAACGCGAATGGAAAGTTCAGCGTGTATTACCGGTGATACACGCGGCACGGAACGTTGTTGAAGGCTTGCGCGCGCCGCTCTTCGATCAATGCTTTATTTAACATTCGCACGAACGTAACTCGCGCAATCGCTCGAAAACAGATCCATATTTATCAGCTCAGTAGCGCGCATTCGTATCTTCGAAAAGTGTCGCAACAGGCTAATTAAAGAACAGTTGGTTTCAATAGAATATACATACATACTTATATATACACATATGTACACACACGCGAAACATCCCCACACGTATAATAATTATCACATAATAATTCATTGCCACATCAACGCGAGATTTCTCGTGGTCCCGTTTTTGTCCGTGTATAAGACGGAATTCGCGACGAACATCGCGGCGAGTGCGCGCGCACTCGCGGACGACGGGCGTACGAAAAACTTATCGCACGCTTCGAGATTCCGAAATCAGATCTCAAGGAAAGAGAGAGAGAGATGTGACGCCGGTGTAGCTCCGTGAATCAGCCCGGTATATAAATAGCGTTCGTGCCCGACATTATGTCTAGAAAGTGCCGCGGGGCTGTTACACGTCGATCCGCGCATACACAAGCGCGACACGCCGCATGCTTAGAGAGAAGGTGGTCGTGACGACGAGCAACAACCCGGGTCGCGGAGCAATAAATACACGGTGTATTTTACAAAGTGTCTGGCGTGAAGGAGATGGGGAGGGGACGGCGGAGGGAACGGCGGCGGCGGGTCAATCCTGTAATTTAACCCTAGATTGAGGCGCAGATTGTATACGCGTGTGGAAGTCGTATCCGCGATATCCGCGGCCGTCCGACGGTGCGCGCATACTTCTGCACACCACCTTCCTTCCCTTCCGCGTGAGAAAGAGAGAGAACGGCACCCCCGGCCGATTTACTAGGCGATCTTTGTCATTCTAGCCGGCCCAGTCACGGTGCGAGGAATCATCGCGCAACACATCGTCGCATTTATCACACCGTGCTGTTCGCACGGCGAGCGATATCGCTGCGCTATCACAGCGAAGCGGCGTAGGGGCGATAGGGTCGCGAGGGGTTACGGAGGTAACGGACGTGTTCAGCCAGCGGGATACCAGGCGATCTTATCGTCCCGTGGCGATCGAGAAGGCGCTTTTTTGCGGCCGCGCGATAGCACGGGACGCGAGAGAAGGCGAATCGGCGGGACTTCCGGTTTCCACGTCGCGTTCCGAACGGCCGCAGGAAACTCCGCCGGAGACGCCTCGGTGGTACCGATGCGCCGTGCGCGATATCGTTTTACCTTGGCGAAGGTATCGGTGAAGGTGCGCGGCGAAACTGCCGTCGGAACGGCAATGAATGAGAGAATCCCGAAAGCGCGGAGAAACGAGAATCGTAATTTTACGTGACTCCGCTACGGTTCTCCTGTATGTTATCACGCGTTGATTAACGCCGGAAAGAAATGAGTTTAGGTAAATATGTTAATACTAAAGTACGGGGGTAATTATTCTATTTGGGTCGAGTAAATATTAGTTGAATGTAGCACATTGAGTAATATTTACTTGACCTGAGTGAAATAATTACTCCAATACTCCTTGGCAAATATTTACTTGATCGTAGTACATTTTACTCTTACTCTTTTCTTTACTCTCTAAACTTTCCCGGAGTGAACTTCACTCCGAACGTGTGGGAACTCACTCCAAGCGAGTGAAAATACGGCCACTCAAGGTTAGAAAGAATTTAACCTGAAGTTCATTTCACGTTCATTTCAAGAAATTTACAAGAGAGTATTTACAAGACAATGGCCGCGCGGATGACGTCATCCATGCGCGCAAAATTTCATTTTTCGGAAGATACATCAATACAATAAGCATCCATCTTGCGCCTTCGTGTATTCGTCGGTTAGGAACTGCTCTCTCGTCCGTCTTTCATGATCTTTTGTGATTGTTATTTTCATGTAAATAAATATCGTTACTTTCCAAAACAGCTTTTTATTGAAAGTGTCAATTTAAAATGGGACACATTTGTCGTCCATGCGACCGTTCGGATCGCATTCAGGCGCGCGACCGTTTCGGAGTTAAATTATACTTCTAATTTGCCGCAGTTATGCAAATTCGTCGCGACGAACTATGACGCCAATGCGCCGCGATGACTCGCGAGTTATGCATATTCGATCCGAAGGAATTAAACCTCGGCGAGCATAAACGAGAAACGTGATTCGGTTTTGTATAAGATCGCTCGGGGAAAGGCGACAAGAGCGTTTCAATAAGTTCGTTCAGGAAAAGGTCGCGTGGCTCGATCTAGGGAAGTCGAACAATGTGTGGAATCGGATTGAACGTTTCTTCCATTCCCGTCGTTTGTATTTTGCATTTCAGTAAAAATGCAACGACGGGACTCGAAGAAGAAAGTTGTGAGCGTGTGAACGGGTCAAGCTAATTAACTAATTGGACGTTTTTATTGACCCTCAATGATCGCGTAGGATCAATTAGCTTTATGTAACAATTCTCTAAAGTGCAGTGAGTGTATTATCACTGAGAAACAACCAGTAACCGCTGAGGGTCATAGTTATAAATATAGAACTTATAATTTACAATCAGGAGAATTTTGCTGAAAAAGTCTGTCAATAATAGCAACTGTTTCAATCGGGGAAATCTGACCACAGAAACAGCGAAGAAAGATATTTATTGCTTTTTTTTTTCATTATCTTAACCAATCTTAAATTGTTATCAATGATTTTATCTAAAATACTCTTAATTATGTTTAATTGGTTTAACTTACATCGTATTTGAAAAAATACGATTATCCTGATGGAACTCGAACCCGAGACCGTGGCCTTTGAGTTTTCTATCGGATAAACTACTATGCTAAGTGCGACATATGATTAAATGCATACACGTTTATGTGCATATACTTCTGCTATGGATGCGTAATAGCGAATTTGCAGCGGCCTTTCACGGGGCCAAAATTCGTGAAATATAAGGCAAAAGAGCTAAGTGGAAGTGTTTTCACTAAAAATTAGCGAACACTTACTAATTATCGGTGGAATACTATTTTACTGACAATCAGTGACATTTTCTGATTAGTCTTAAGAGAGAAATCTCCTTTTCGCTCAGTCGTATCGGACTTACGATTTTACCTGAAACGCCGATTAAAAGAAGAACGTTACATAATTGCAAATTTTTTTATTCTCCGTCATCAACTTCTTTGCATTCACGATGGTCGTTGCTGTGATCTCACGCGCATCCGTGAACGTTAAACACACCATCGACCGAACGGAATTCCGCGCATCGCCGTCGTGGTCGCAACATCGACGCAAATGCGCCGAAGTTACGGATCGTTGCGTGCGGTCCGCATCAAGCCGAGGATTACGTACGAAAGGCGAAATGGGCGTCGAACAGGGGGCCGTACGCTCGAAAAGTCCAGACTCGCCGGCGCCCGGATGCCGCCGCGACGTCTGAGCCCCGTCGTCTCTTTGGAGGGTATAAAGCATACCCCACCAGGGCGGAATTGGGCACGGCGAATTTCGTCACGCCATTTGAGCGTGCCGACGTGCTTCTTTATTGCGAAGACACGAGGCGTGAAGTCGGACTGGCGCAAATAAGAAGCGGCAGTGAATGATCGACGTGACTCGAAATAGATGGCAAATATAAATGACGAACATAATTTTATTTTCAAATATACACGGAGACAAATAATCCGGAGAGACAACAAATTTTACGCTGAAATTATGCGTTATATTATCACGTGAGCTTTTTTTCATAAAAAGTGACCTCGAAAATCAATTCCTAAAATATTGCACAGTGCTTGAGAAATACCCTGTATGTTGATTTATTCACTACGACGGTAAAATCTACCATTTCTCTGAATTAATTTTCTCTGTGTAATTTTATCATGTCTATGTATTTCAGAGAGAATAAAGAATCGATGTCACGCGTTTTTAACCCCGAAAGGCCGGACAGGTCGGACTGACCACAAGCCGCTTTCATTTTCGTGTGATTTTTCCCTCCTTTAACAGTCCTAAGATATCTCGTCATGATTTTTCCTAATTTTTCCCAAATATAATAGATAAGAATAATAGACATAAGAAAGACACTGAGGTTCGACTGGCCGCAATGAACTTTACAGCTTGTTGGAGTGGCTCTCCATTAAAAAGACAGCCGCAAATCTTCGTGCCACAAAGTTCAGTTCATGGATTCGCCGACGATGCACATACAACGATGCAACTTGGCTTAAAAAAAGCCGCGACAGAA